TACCCGATTCATTCATTTCCAGCACTACCTATTCGTTCCGATTGTAAATGGATTGAATTTGGATCACATGATTAGTATTTCAAAATTCCAACAAAGTAAGCCCTATCAAAGTATCGGTTCGTTTTTCACTTTACTTTTAAATAGAATGAACTAGGAAGGACCCGTATGATGCATGGGAAAATCTGAAAGCTTTAATAATTTTATTTTTCATTTAATGTTAATTTATAAAAAATAATTATTATTAATTGAATATGAATAAATATTTTTTTAATAAATTTAGTTTTATTAATAATTTGTAGTAATGTTAATATTTTTATTCTATTTATTATTTTTAAATTAAATTTTGATTAATTTTAAATAAATAAAAATAATTATAAATGCTAACATTTTTATTAATTCCATTAATAATTAACAACTATAAGTAGTGACAATGGGGTGGGTTCAGGGCAGGGCACCCCATCCCTTTCCCTGACCCATAGTCAAGACACTTTACCCCATCCCCGCCCCATCCCTAATGTCACGTGGGTCCAGGGCAAGGTAATTACTCCTTAATATCGAGTGAATTTCCCTACCATGTCCCTAGTATTGGGCAGGTTCAAGAGGTGTAAATTGGGTTGTGTTGGGTCAGTATGACATGACCTGCATGTGGCCCACACAAAGTGTGAGTCGTGTCGTGTTGGCCCAGGAGGCATCCTAAGTTGTGCCTCCCTCCTCTAGGATAATTTGGGGGGTCGGTTCAACACGGCCCATGGTTCGAAACCACACAGGCCCATGCCATGTCGTGGGTCGAGCTGGTCCATGGGCCGGGCCTTGGGCCAGGCCATGCCACACACCAAGCCAAGCTCAAGGCAAGGGACCCACTTCCCATCCAAGGTTTTTAAAATTGGACCAGATAGGGAACTGTTCTAGGGTGGAACGGTCTGACTATTTGGTCCGAACAGATGACCCGCTCTGACAAAAAAATAAAAATTTAGAAAAATAAAAAAAGGTAAAAAATTGTTGTCTGGGTTGACGGTTCAACCACCCAAGTCAGCGGTTCGCTAACCAAATAAACGGTTTTTGGACAAAAAACGATTTTGAGGTGAAATAGTGTCCAGTTCCCAATTTTTCCAATCTAACCATCTGGTTTGATCCAGTTTTGAAAACACTGTCCCCGTCAACCCAATATTCAATTTGATGATAAAAATGATCAAAATGATATATCGAGTATCAACCACATGGTAAATTTCTAAAAGTACACTAAATTGTCTTTAATATTCAAAAATGTAATTTTATGAAAATTTTGGAAAACTTATGGTACTTGTTAATTTTGAAATTTTATTTAAATTTTTATTAAATAATTTATTTTCTTTTAAATGGTTTACTTACAGAATTATACTAATTTATCTTATAATTTCTAATATAAACTAACCAATAATTTCCTTTTTCCAATATTATACTAATTTATCTTAAAAATTTGTGTAATTATTTGTTCAAATTATAGTTTTCCATTTCCCAATAGTCATTTGTTTTTAATGATTTTCAATAATTTGCGATGAAAATTACATCATTTTTCAATGATTTTCCAAAATCTATCAAATGTAATAATTTTTCTTGAAATTTCCAAAATATTCTAATAATTTTCAATAATTATTTAATGCACTTTAAATAAACTTTCAAATACTCTATAACTTTTAATTTCAAAAATGTCATTTTACGAAAATGTAGTTTTATGAAAATTTTTGAAAAAATTTATTAAATTTGTGTAACTATGGGGATTTATTGAATTTTTTTAAATTGTTATTAAATATATTTTTTATTTGGTAGTTTACTAACAAAATTACACTAATTTATCCTTTATTTTTTAATATAAATTAATTAATAATTTCATTTTCTAACATTATAATATTTTGTTCCCCCCCCCTTTGTATTTGGTTATTAATTATAACAATAACAATAACTAAAATTTTATACTTTTTGATAATTGTTAAATATAATTCTCAAAATTATAGAAATTAAAGAGTTTTCAATTTCTATAAAATGTTGTTAATGAGTTCATTAAAAACAATATTTATTAATTTTTGGTAATTTACTACCCATATTTATTAACTTTTGGTAATAACATTATTTAATACTCATTAAATATGGGTGGGATTAAATATTAACCATATGTAACTATTTATTAATTAATATTAATATTTTAAATGAGGGAGAGTGGATATAAATTAGGGGGATGCATCTTAGGGATTGATTAGGGAGTGGGGCAACATGATACTTTCCTATTGGTTTAAATGAGATACCTTATAAGAGAGATTATAGGAATATTTTTAGGTAGTTGGGTGGCATGGCATAATGGGAATGGTGGGAAGGGGACAGGAATGAAAGTCTAAGAGAATGAAGGGTGGGGATAATGGAGCAAGGAGAGGCATGATGACGGGGATCGTGCTTTATTAAGCGAATAACTCGAGTTTGTGGGTTTTCGCTAATGATCAACCCGAGTTGGTCAGTTTTCTAGTATTTTAGATCGGCTTTGATTTAATAAATATATATTAATATTTTATATTTTAAATATAATTTTTTAATACGAAAAAGTATGGAAATTTTCCATATTTGTTAGTGGATATAACTCGAGTTTGTGGATTTTCGCTAATGGTCAATCGGTTTCGAGAGACAAACTGCGGACTTGACCAGATCGATTTAGTTGGCGAAACAGCCTGCAACTGAACTGAACCAATCAATGAACACTCCTAATTTTAACTAAATTTATATTATAATCTCTAATAAATAGCAATAGTTTAATCTCCAATAATTATTAAAAACTTATAGCAAACGTACACAATCATTGAAAATAAGCTTATAATGAAAATATAATAGATATATAATAAAAATATAATAAATACTGAAATATACTAAATTAGTCAATAAATAGTGTAATATTAAATAATAGTTTAATCTCTAATAAGTATTAATCTATAAATTATAAAAAATATATAATTACTAACAATAAATTTATAACAAAAATACAATAAATATGATAAATTTAATTTTAAAAGTTAATAATTGTTTAATCTCCAATAATTATTGATAATTTTCTATTAAATAACAAAATAAAAATATATTTATAAATAATTATTGAAAGCATATTTATAGAAAAACAATAAATAATTACTGAAACTAAAATAAATATTAATTATAGTATATATATAATGAATATACACTATTATTGTAAAATTAGTACTAATTAATATAATTTTTTTGATAGTTATTTTCTATAATTATTAATTGTTATAAGTGAAATTAGTTATTAAAAATATTAGTTAGTTATTGAAATAATATTGTTATTTTAATTCTTAATATTAATTATTTATTGAATTTAATAATCCATAAAATAATAATTATACTATTATTACATAATTTGTTATTAATTTTGTAAAATATTAAATTATTATTAATATGAATATTATGAATTATATTATAATTATTTTTCTAGTTTTAAGATTTTTTTTTGAATTTATTACATAATTTTGTTATTTTAACTATTTAAAATTTTGTCACTTTAAATATTTTATTATTTAAATATTCAAATAATATGTAAAATATTTAAAAATTTTCATTATTTGAATTTTATTTATTTTAATGTTATTACGTAATATTAAATATTTTGTTTTATTATTTATCTATTTTCAATATTTTTATTTAATATTTTTAGTTATTGAAATATTTAAATAATGTTTTATTTCTTAATGTTAAATTTTTATTATTTGAATAACATTTAAATTAAATAATTCCTAAAATTATAATTTATATTGTTACTACATAATTTCATGATGAATTTGTAGAAATATTGAATTATTAATAATATGAATATTTTTAAATCTATTAATTTTTCATGTTTTGAATAAATATTTTATATTTAGTATATAATTTCATTATAACATTTAAAAAGTTCTGAATTTTGTTAATTGAAACTTTCTTTATATAGATATAGATAAAAAGTGGGGGAGAGGATAAATAGGAATTAGAGATAGTTTAGGAGAGAATCTCTCAGCTAAATTAGAGATAATTTAAGAGATAAATAGGAGTTAGAGATAATTTAGGAGATAAATAGGAATTAGAGACTTGTGGAAAAATATTAGAAAAGCAAATCCCTCTTTGTTTATGGTTGTTAGAAATAGTTAAGCATACGTGATTTCCTTATTGGTTTAATGGTAATTATGTGGAATTAAAAAAATAAAAATTAAAAAAAAAAGAAAATTAGGAAGGGGGGTTTGAAACAATAAGCTGACATGGTAGGACCAAGATTTCTCATAAATTATTATATAATAGAAATTACTAGAAATTAGTAGAACTTGTGGAAAAATAACCACTAATTTCCATAAAATATGATAAAATAGATGAAATTAGTATAACTTTATAAAAATAACCCTTAAATTCCAAAAATTAATAGAACTTAAGGATGATAATTACCTGTCCGGATCTCCAGCCCATGTCTACCCACAACACACTACCCCTGTGAATTGGGAACATCTCCCCCTGTAATAATACTATGAAGAGGATGAGATGTTCTCCATGTGTGACTGCAATAAATATGGGCAAGAGATCCGGTAATTACTTAAAATTATCAAATAATGTAAACCTAAATAAATTACAATAATTTATCAAAAATTGCATTTTGTTTTCCCGTGCATCGCACGAGTACCCACTAGTTCGTCAGTTCGACTTAATTTGATTTGGGATTTTTGGAGTCATTTGACAGCCCGTGCTGGCCTGATTAAATATATTTCTTTTGCTAATTAAACGTATTTAATTTGAAAAAAAATATCGAAAAATTTACGTTCTACTCAAATAAAATTTTTTAGTATAATTCCTGACCAAGGACGGTGGAGATTCTGCCCTAGCTACCCATAGGGTCACGATACGATTCAATTTGGGCGGCTTTCGTGTAAGATACGCAGACCACCTCTCTTGGAATTAATGCATGTTAGTAGATCTCCCATTTTATTCCCAGTCCAGCGGTTCTAATACATTTGCTCCCACACGAGGGCTGTCATACGAAATTACGTTCTCAGCCAATTTTAACGACGTGTGCTTTAACTAGCCGTTTTCCTGCTGCATCTTCTATAGTCTCCCTTAATTTCGTCGGAATCAAGTTGTGGAGGACAGCACCTTGACTTGAGATCTGCTCGCTCGGATCGCCGTTAACGGCTTTCTTTCTCCGCCTTCATGTAAGAGCATATTTTCATTCGCAGTTTCTTTCATTTTTTTTTCCTTTCTGATCTGCCGCTTTTATGGCCTTTTTTCTCCACTATTTGAATCATTTCGTTGCGATTCCTGCTTAGATCTGATCTTTTTTTCAAGATCTATTAGGTTCATATTTTCTTTTCAGAGAACACATAATCTGGTTTCTCCTGTTTGATTTGCGAAATTGAGGTTCGATTTGTCTTGATTCGGTTTGTTTCTCCTGTCTTGCCTTTATATAACTGAAACTGTTGCACGATCAAGCCGATCCCCATTTTGTTGCACGGGATTGGTACCTTGCTGCTTGATTTATGTCCACGTAGTTAGGTTGACCTTCGGTTATTTAAATTAAATTTCATGCGGGATTAACATCTATACGCCTCTTTTCTGGATGACAAAGTGCTTGTTTTTTTTTTATTGTCCTTGGATTTCGGCTCTGAGATTCGATATTGTTTCTTTTATTATTGTTTTTCGTTTAAGTATATAGGGTTGAGATGCATATTTGATCGTTATGATTAAATTTTTATGGTTGTAATGTTTTTCCTTCTGATTGCCTAATACCTGTACATGAGATGTTATCGTGTTCTCGACTCTGGATCACGTAGATGTGTTGTAAGAATTTATTGCTTTGTTGTAATGGAGGAGGCTTCTTGTTTGTGTTAATATAGTTGATTTTCAGGTTACATGCATTACCTTTTAGAGGCTAATATGATTTTCCCTTTGGAAAGATAAGATTGCTGTATAAATTTGATCAATTATATACTATGGGAGATGGAGAACTAGATAGACTAGTATGTTACTCTAAACTATACTTACGGGTCACATTCTTGTTTGATATAGAGTAGTATAGTAATGTCGCAAGCAGCAACCCATTCGAGTTTCTTTTATTGTCATCTCAGGATGAAAAAGAATCGCAGTCTATCTTTACTCTTTCATTTTTCATTAGATGTATATATTGAAAGCTTTACAAATTAGTTAGCTGAGCACATGATTCTGCTTCCTACAAAGGATCATCGAGCAGCATGGTTTCCATAAGGTGTGGTATGTTTGAATATGCCATTGTGGTGTGGTTGAAATCACATGGTTTGAACCACACCACTCCATAAGGTGCTCTACAATGTGGTGTGGATGTATTGTTAGCAAAATTTTAAATAATATATTCCAGTCATTTATTACATTACATATCCAATCCACCGTGGTTGGACTAATCCACGAGATTTTGGCTTGGAAAGTAAACTGTGATATTTTGTGTTTCAAAACCATCCATTAATGATTTCAAAACACACCATGCCTCTAAAAGAATTCCTAATGGGATGTGCTGTGTTTCAGAATGTAACAAACTACAGAATATTCACAATACAGAACACCCCCTAAAACTGTTCAGTTACAGATCATTTTTTCTTATGAAGTAGCGAACATTGTGGTTTCCTTAGGGGTGCAACATGGGTGAGTTGGACTGGTTTTGAGTCAACCAGGCCCAACCTTAACAGTTGGGTTTAAGTCCTGAGCTCCTGTGGAGCTCGATGTCAAGCCTAATATACTCAACACAGGCTTAGCCTCAATTAAAACTTGACACATTTGGGTTTGGCTCAGGCCCAACAGGACTTAGGCTGGTCATTCAGTCTTGGGTTACTTAACGACTAGACTTGGGTCTAGCTCAGAAAATGAAAACACCAAAAGTTGGCCCTGGCCCCAGTCCAAGTACTGAAAATTCAAGCTCAGCCTGTGTAAAATTTTGGGTTGGGTCAGTCTAGGCACAGGTTGGGCCCACTCAAGTTGCACCACTAGTTTAAAACAGTTGTAAGTCTAGCTTTGCTGCATGGATAGAGTGTTGGGCAGTGAAGAAACAGCATGTCCAAAGAATGAATGTGGCAGAAATGTGAATGCTAAGATGGATGAGTGGAAAAACTAAAAGGATAGGATTAGGAATGAAGTTATCTGTTGGAACCTAGGAGTAGCTCCAATGGGTGATAAAATGAGAGGGAGTAGACTAGGATGGTTTGACCATGTGCATAGAAGACCACCAACTTTGCCAGTTAGAAGAAGTGGCTTGTTACACATTGAAGGTGCTAGAAGTGCTTGGGGTAGACCAAAACAGACAAGTTTGGGTAGAAGTAGTAAGAAATGATTTAAGGCCAAGTTTGGGAGTGCTTATTCAATTAGCACTTATTTTGGGTCGGTACCTACCACACCAATAAGCACTTATGGCATTTGGGAAATAAACTTGGAATGAGTACTTATTCTGAGTAAGTGTTTATTCGAGAAACCCAAAATTCAGGCTTATTTTTAAGTGCTTATTCAATAAGCGCTTATTTCCTTTCTGGCTTACACATCATTTTGAAAATACCTATACTATCCCTATTTGAAATAAGTCTTTTTTCACTAAATGCTCATGAGCACTTATTTTTAGGGAAAATTCCAAATTAGTTCCTTGTACTTTAGGGGTAGTCTCAGTTTAGTACTTCAAAACGTGCCACTGCAGTACCTGAACTCTCAAAAACTGTCAATTTAGTCCCTACCATTACCATTCCGTCAGTTATTGGTATCACGTGATGATGACATGTGCAACTTAAAAATTTTGAAAATGTCAAAACTACCCTTCAAAAGAAGACAATGTTCATTGTCTTCTACCTTGAAACTGAACCAGAAGAGGGACATGCTGCTGCATTGGTGCTTGATTCTCTCCATTTAGTACAGAACAATAATGAAATTTCAAGGGGCTTTAAGGGATTCTCTGTTTTTGGCTAATTGGTATCTGCAATCTGAAAAGAGTTGGGTTTAGAACTACCTTTAAGGGGAGGTAACACCTCGTGCCTCCTCTTAGGGTGCTTCATGCTTGTACTATTTCTATCTCTATTTAATAAAATACCATTCATTCATAAAAAAAAATGAAATTTCAAATATGCCTTTTGCATACGCTCTAGAGAACAAAATGATGAACAGTAAAGTTACTGTTCATTGTCTTCTTCACAGAGAATGGAACAGTGCTGACCAAAATGGTGAAACGGTAAAGTTACTGGTCGGAGTATATAAATGAAAAAAGAAAGTTCGGAGATTTGACTCAAGGAATCGAAATTCAATTTAAATGGAGAAAGATGCCAATAGCTTGGTTGATGCTTTGGCTAAGCAAGGGGTGGGATGAAACAACTTGTTCGAGGCTATGCTATAATGTTTTCTTCTCTGGGAGTCGGAGCTAAGAGAGTTTATCTCTCCTATCCTCCTTGTATTTGCTTATTTATTTTTTAATGAAATCCATTCAATTATTGATCAAAAAAAAGTTAAACTATTCATTGTCTTCTTCACAGAGAACAGAAAAGTAGTGTGAGACTTCTGTTCTTTGCTGTAATGGCCCATTAGTATTGAAACTATAGAGAAGATGGGCTGAATGGTCCATAGGCTGTTTATCCTTTATATCCTTTTATGTTCTTTGTTGTAATGGGCCTTAATCTGGGATCTTATTTTTTCTTATGTTATGTTTTTAATTTTTTGCCCAATCAGGGACTTCTCTGTAAATTACTAAAGTTTAACTTAATGAAATGGGATTAGGGGTGTAAGAGGAGATTATGTTTTGAAAATCTCTCTCTGAACCCTAGTTGTCGCCACCTTCTTCTTCTTCTTCTTCTTCTTCTTCTTCTCTCTTCTTGTAAGCTGATTTTTGCTACTTTCTATTGATTCTCTACATCTTTTTAAACAGTCCATTTCAAAAGGTTGTTTTTCTTCTTGGTATCAAAGCAGGCTCTTCTTCTCTTTTCACCTCCTTTTTCCCATACATAGTGTGCATGGAGAACTGAATCGGATGAACAGTTAAAGAAACTTATTTCAGCCCAGTTGTTAGTGGTTTTTGGAGAGGACTGGTTTTGTCGTCCTCTTGACATATTCAAGTGTGTTGCTCGAAACCCTAATTTTTTGAAGAAATCTGATTGCGGGCCCCATAGGGAGTTTGACCTGGGCGCTCAATGCCTGAAAGTCTTCTTATCCTTCATCTTGAAGATCGTTTCAAGTGGATTGGTGTTCTGTGAAGTCTACAAGGTGCGGCTGAGTTTTCTCTGTTTCTTCTGGGTTCTGGGTGTGATGCAGGTAGTAGGTACGGCTGCATAGAGGTTAACTCACGACATAGCTTTTCTTCTGTCTTCATTGTTTGTTATTCGGAGTTGTTAGAAGTTATTTTTGAAGTATTTTAAGAAGATAAACCCTTCAGAAGTTGAAAACAAGCATACTGTTGAATCTGGACAGGTTCTGGGAGCCTCTGTTGACTCTTTATTGGCTGTGACCATAGTCAAGCTAAATGGAACTAATTATGTGGCTTGGTCATAATCAGTAAAAATTCATATCTATAGTAGAGGCAAATGGGGTTTTATCTCCTAGTCCGGGAGCAAAAAGGCTCCCTCGGAAGATGACCCATCATATGAAAAATGGATGCAAGAAAATTATATTGTTATTGAATGGCTTGTGAACTCCATGCAACCTCAGATTAGTCAATACTATTTGTGGATGAATTCAGCAAAGGAAATTTGGGATAGTGTTGCTGAAACCTATTCCCATAAATTAAATGTAGCCAGGGCTTACAAGCTGAGGAGTGATGTAAAGAATTTGAGAAGGGGAGAAACCTTTAGCTGTTTATTTCTCAATATTGAGGTCTCTGGCAAGAAATTGATTTGATTGAAGCTGTAGCCTGGGACACCACTAATGATGTTGAGACCTACAGGAAACTTGTTGAGAGAAACAGGGTGTTTGAGTTTTTGACTGGATTGAATCCAGAGTATGACATCACAAAGCAAAATATCTTATCCAATGTCTCAAGCCTATGCCTTGGTAATTAGTGAAGAAAGAAAGAGGCTTGTCCAAGTTCAAGGGGTTGGTCTAAATGATCACTTTGCTAATATGGGAGTGAAACCTAAGGGAGTTACAGGAACTCCAAGTGGCTCAGGGAAGAAAGAAATTATTTGTGAGTACTGTAAGAAACCAAATCACACTAAAGACGAGTGTTGGAAATTGCATCCTGAGCTTTTTCCTCTTCGGTTTCAGAAGAAGTATGATAATATGAAGGTAGGGAATGCCAATATTGCTGCGGGTCCAAATAGCAATAGATGCCTAACTGAAGAGAAGTTTACTAGTGAGCAATTAGCAGCTATGGAAGGCAGAGTATGAGAAGTTTGGAAGGATGATCAGTCACCTAGAGGGTGTGGCCTCTTCTTCCAACCCTTCAGGAAATTCAACCTCTTCTGTATTTGCTCATTCAGGTATACGGGCTTCTGCCAATCATGCAACTATTTCAGGTAATCGTAGGATCCCTTGGATTATTGATTTCGGTGCTTCTAATCATATGACTAGCCTTTCCACTTTTTTTGTTTCTTATGATTTACTTCCTAGCTGTGACAAAATCACCCTAGCCGATGGCTCTCTTGCCCCTATCTCTAGCAAGGGAACCATCAAGGCTACAGATTCCTTGGTTCTTCCTTTTGCTCTTCATGTACCCTAGCTAAATACAAATTTGTTATTTGTAAATAGCCTAACTAAATCTTTGAGCTGTTGTGTAATCTTCTTTCCTTCCTACTGTGTTTTTTAGGATATGGAGTCTCAGAAAGTAATTGGGAGTGGCCATGAGGCGAATGGAGTATATCTGCTGGATACTCCTAGACAGAGCCATGGACAACCTGAAAAAGTTGCTTTTGGATCTACATCTACAGAATCTATTAGTCGAATCATGTTATGTCATTTTTGTTTGGGTTATCTTTCTTTTTTTGCATTAAGTCATTTATTCCCATAACTATTTAAGGGAATTAGTTTGTCTAGTCTTCATTGTGAGTCTTGTGAGTTGTCAAAACATTGTAGAAGCAGTTATCCTTTGGGTAATAAAAGATCTTCTTCTCCATTCCATATTGTGCACTCTGATGTGTGGGGACCTTACCACTTACCTTCTATGTGTGGCTACAAATATTTTATCTTGTTTATTGATGATTTTTTACGGTTCACTTGGATATTTTTTATGAAGTTCCTAGACTTGTGAGGCAATTCCATGAATTTGTTCTAACCCGGTTTGATACCAGAATTAAAATTTTCAGATCCGACAATGCAAAAGAATATTTTGAGAAAAACCTGACTTGCTATCTCATTGATTTGGGGGTTATTCACCAAAGCTCCTATGTTAGGACCCCATAACAGAATGGAGTTGCTGAAAGAAAAAATCGGCATATTGTTGAAGTTGCAAGAAGTATCCTATTTTCCTCACATGTCCCTACAAAATTTTGGGATGATGTTGTTCTCACTGAACCTACCTAATTAACCGTATGCCATCCAGGGTTTTGGGGTTCAAGTCTCCCTTCAATCTTTTTCATCCGGGCAAGGACCTTTTTCCTATTCCACTCTGTGTCTTTGGCTGCACTTGTTATGTTCATATCCCAAGTGTCCAGAGACAGAAATTTGAACCAAAAGCTCACAAGTGTATTTTCCTTGGTTATTCCCCCACACAAAAGGGTTATTGTTGTTTTGATYCGAAGACTRGAACTCGGTAYGTCTCAATGGATGTCACCTTTGATGAGCTCTCTTCCTTTTATGATTCTTCTCAGGAGAGGCATTGTTCAAAGGGGGAGAATTTGTCACAGTTGTTTGCTCTCCCCCTTCCTGTCCCAGTTGAGTCTTCTTTTGAGTCTCTTCCTCTTTCAAATGAGGCAAGGGAGGATCAGTCATCTCATTCTCATTCCAGTGTTCATATCCCTCCTCCTTTACCCCATCGTCCTCTTTTTAATCCCAGGTTGTACCAACAGCACAGAACCAGAAGTGAGCAGATTGATTCCCCTACACCACATGAACCTCCTGCACTTCCAGTCACAAAAGAGACAACAGGTACTGATATAGCCCCTTTGGAGTCATCCTTTCCAGACCTTGATATCCCTATTGCTATTAGGAAAGGAAAAAGGAAGTGTACTGCACATTGCATTTTCAAACACTTTTCTTATAGTTTGCTCTCTCCTTCATATTTCGGCTACCTTTCTTCTGTTGCTTCTAACCCAATTCTTAGATCTGTGTCAGAAGCTCTTACTATTCCAGAATGGAGGGATGCTATGAGAACAGAAATTGATGCCCTACACAAGAATGACACTTGGGAAGTGGTTGATTTACCTAAAGGAAAGGATCCAATAGGTTGTAAGTGGATTTTTACCATCAAATATCATGTTGATGGCACCATTGAAAGGTACAAGGCCAGGCTAGTTGCAAAAGGTTATACACATAGATATGGGATTGATTATCTGGAGACCTTTGCTCCTATTGCCAAGATGATTTCTGTGAGAGTTCTGCTTTCTCTGGTTGCACACTCAGACTGGCCACTTTACCAGTTGGATGTAAAGAATGCATTTCTGAATGGAGAGTTACATGAGGAGGTCTATATTGTCTCTTCCTCCAGGGATGTATGAAACAGATATGAAAGGGATGGTCTGCAAGTTGAAGAAATCTCTTTATGGACTTAAACAGTCCCTTATGGCATGGTTTGAAAGGTTTAGGGCTACCCTTGTTAACTTTGGCTATGTACAGACTCAGTCTGATCATACCTCTTTGTGAAGATGAGAGGATCCTTGGCAGTTTATCTGATTCTGTATGTTGATGATATTGTTGTGACTGGTAATGATGTATCAAGGATTAATCATCTCAAATCTTTCCTTCATACAGAGTTTGAGATCAAAGATCTGGGGGAATTGAGATACTTTCTTGTCATAGAAGTTGCTCGATCCAAGGATGAGATCCTTATCTCTTAGAGAAAGTATGTACTTGACTTGCTCTCTGAAACAGGGAAGATGGGWGCTAGACCAGTTGCTACTYYTATTGATATGAGTCATAAACTCTCTGCTTCAGATGGAATATTGTTGAAAGATAAGGGAGTCTTCCAGAGGCTACTTGGGAAACTTCTCTATCTATGCATGAGTCGGCTAGACATTTCATATGCTGTCAGTTGCATTAGTTAGTTCATGCATGCTCCCAAGGACACTCACATGGCAGCAGCAGAGCGGATTCTATGTTATTTGAAGGGTTCTCCTGGAAAGGGAATTCTATTTGCTGAGCATGGTCATATGAAACTTAAAGCCTACACAGATGTTGATTGGGCCGGAAATATTGATGATAAAAGATCTGTCTCTGGATACTGCAGCTTGGTGGCATGTAATATTGTATCTTGGAGAAACAAGAAACAATCAGTGGTTGCCAGATCTTCAGTCGAAGCTGAATACAGAGCCATGGCTCATGGAGTTTTTGAACTATTGTAGATCCTTGATGGAGGAACTAGGTATTGAGCATGATAAGCCATTGATTTTATACTGTGATAATCAGGCTGCCATCAACATTGCTCACAATCCAGTGTAACATGACAGAACCAAACATGTTGAAGTTGACAAACACTTCATTCGAGAAAGAGTGCCTTCTGGAGAAGTGTGTCTACCTTTCATCACTTTTGAAGGACAGTTAGCTGATTTCCTCACCAAGGGCATTCTCAAGGCTAAACTTCAGCATGATACTGGCAAGCTTGGCATGATTGATATCTATGCTCAACTTGAGGGGGAGTGTAGAGAAAATGGGACGAATGGCCTATAGGCTGTTTATCCTTTTTATCTTTTTATGTTCTTTGCTATAATGAGCCTTAATCTGGGTCTTATTTTTTCTTATGTTATGTTTTTTATTTTCTGCCCAACTAGGGACCTCTCTATAAATTACTAAAGTTTAACTTAATGAAATGGGATTAGGGGTGTAAGAGGAGATTATGTTTTGAAAATCTCTCTCTGAACCCTAGTTGCCACCAACTTCTTCTTCTTCTTCTTCTTCTTCTTCTTCTTCTTCTTCTTCTCTCTTCTTGTAAGCTGATTTCTGCGACTTTCTATTGATTCTCTACATCCTTTTAACAGTCCTTTCATTTCAAACGACTGTTTTTCTTTTGAAACTTTGATCGTATTTCACTCTCTTAGTATTAATGTGGAAATTATAATCGTTTTTTTATGGTCATATTGAAGACTTCCATCTCTGTATTGATGTCCCAATTAGACTATGCCAGCCATCCTTTTTACTTTTTTAGGAACCTAATGAACGGATGAAGAGTTGAATGACTCTTATGTTCATATCCATCCTCATTATCCTGTCAATAGCAATCAACAACTGTCTAAAGACCACTGTACGCCATTTCAAAAAATTTCAAGCTCACTTTTTTTCTCTCTATCTATCCTGTGTTCTGAACCTAATCACAACTGAACGAAGATTCAAAAAAAAAAAAATAGAACCCCAAAATGAGATAGCAAGAGAAAGAGTCATAGACCATAAAAGAGATACTTCTTTGATGAGTTTCTAATTATTTTTTTGGATTTTCATATTCTGTGTTGGAATTATTGTTCTGGTTGCTTTCAATAAACTCCAGAAATTCAGTTGGCTAGGGTTAAAAAATTTTCACCTGTTAGTCTCTGTCTCGTGGAATTACTATCCAGTCCCGACATCCTTGAATGCCATTGCTGTCTTTAGTATAGTGTTGTTAACTTGACACCATTGTTAACTTTTGATATGGCTTTAAAGAGAACAGATTAGTGAAACGGGATTCATGTAGCCGACCACATATAGTTGGGATAAGGCATGATGATGATTTAGTATTTTTTTGGTAAAAATACTCTTCTTATATAGTTGAAGTTTTCAATTTCTGACATTTTAGAAAGTAAGATTGTTCCAATATAATTATTAAATTTTCAGAGATAATAACCTAGATGCCTATGTTATGTTTGGGTCTTTAAACTGTATGTCAGGGATTCTGTATACATTTTTCTTTATTATACTTTTTTTTTAATTGCATACAATGACCAAGAACCATGCCTATCGGCCCTATCCATTGAAAAATGTTTTTTCTTATAAATGTGTCATACTTCTTGAATGAATTTCTAATTTGCAATCTGTAGAACCATCAGACACAAAGATGGGGCTGTCTTTCACCAAGCTTTTTAGTCGGCTCTTTGCCAAGAAAGAGATGCGCATTCTTATGGTGGGTCTTGATGCTGCGGGTAAGACCACCATTTTGTACAAGCTCAAGTTGGGAGAGATTGTCACAACAATTCCAACCATTGGTATGCTTTTGACCCTATAACATAAATGATTTCAAGAGTGGCTTTTTTTCCTGTATGTTTTTAAGGGAATGTTCTGCCTGGATGTCCATGTAATGTGTAGAAGTATGTCCTACATTGGTTTGGTGAATTAAACTTTTAGTTTGGGGGTTCAACTGCTCATTCATTCATGTTTATTTATATTTCAACCATGGGAATGCAAATTTGAGAGTTTGAGTTTCTTGCAAGATGTGCATTTAGAAATGTTAGAGAAAATAGTTTTTTTTTCTTTTTTTAGAAGATAGAAAAAAAATCATGTTTCAGGTTAAGAACGTATACATTTGCCTAAACCTAATTTTGTTCACCCCCTGGAATCCACACTTCAAGCCTATGTAATAGATTTTTATGCATTGTTGTTCTGCTAGGTAGCCACTAGATCACCACTATTCCTAAGTTATATTAAGCTTATATTATTTTCACTCTTGACTCAAACTAATGAACCTTTTTTTCCGGTCAGGGTTTAATGTGGAGACTGTGGAATATAAGAACATTAGCTTCACTGTTTGGGATGTAGGTGGTCAGGACAAGGTATGTATGGTTATATTAAGCTAAATTATGTACAAAATTTGACTCTCCTGATTTAAGGGTGATGTTGAAATCTTGTGTTGTAAATTTACACCGTAAGTAGGAAAATGTTTAGGCTCCTTATGGTTGTAAGGATCAACTGAAATTGTCCCAACTTTGGCATTTAGATTATTTTTGTCCAGATTTTTCAATTTTCTGAACAGTTCTGGTTCACCTGAACTGTGGACTAGAACTTTTCTCTGCCCCAATTTTGCCAGCATTGTTTAGAAGCCTAAATTAGTCTATAAAGTAACATTGTGTGAATGTCCATGAACTTGTTCATGATGGCATTGGTGTTTTTGTGTTTAAAGTTTTGCAAGAATGGGAAGTCATGGCATTTTCTTAAAGTTGTATGCATGATTTATGACCAAAAATTGGCATTGGAGCTTTTATTTAGATGTTGCACTGTCAATTAATGTGATCATCATGATTTAATTATCTATAATAATTAGTTATTTATGTCTTGTGAAACCATGCTTATGGACGGTCTAGTGCTGATTAATTGTTTTACCATCAGCACTTAACATAATCATAAGCTAGATCAAATTAAGCCACCTCATATTTCATTGTTTCCTTATCCATACAAGAAAACACTATCCATGTTGTGGCTGACATTTCAATGCACTCTGATGATGATTATGATTGATAACACACACACACACACACACGTAGTTGTAGGATACTGGTGTATGAACAGTATTGTTCTGGATGTTTCACTGTCATTTAATGTGATGATCATGATTTATTTATTTATAGTTATTTATGTCTTTGGAAACCATGCTTATGGACGATCTAGTGCTGATAAAATGTTTTACCATCATCACTTGACATAATCATGAGCTAGATCAAATTAAGCCACTTCATATTCCATTGTTTCTTTAGCTATACAAGAAATCGCTATCCATGTTGTGGTTGACATTTCAAGACACCCTGATGATGATTATGATTGATAACACATGCACATGTAGTTATAGACTTGCTGGTATATGAACAGTCTTGATCTGGATGGAGACCAGACTACAATTAACATAATCATAAATTTTCTAAATGGTCTTGTAACCTCTCTTTTTTTATGGTAAAAAAAATAATTTCATTAAAAGGAAAAAATCCATATAATCTTGGTAAAACCTGAACACGTAACAAAAGCAAGGAGAAGATTAAAACATATCATCAAATTACAAAATTCCATTCCTATAACGTCCCCAAATCAGACCCCTGAGACCTCTTTATCGACTTGGTCAAATTCTGGAAAAACAAGACCCAATCTTACACAGCTTTGCCAATGTCTGCCACCAGCATCTCCATCCTAACTTCGACCTTGCAATAACATCACTTTTGAAATCAATTTTCCAACATATTCCTCATTGAAACCCTTCTTCCTTTGCTCAGCCCCTGACAATCCAAGATTGCAATCCATCCTCACCCCCCCCCTCTCCAGTTTCCGGCCTTCGAACTTTCTCCCTTCACTCCTCCTGTGCCTTCTTCCCACCTTTCCCATTCCTCCCACACCTCTCCCCCTTCCCCCGCAACTTTCTTATTATATTCTTCCTACCTCCCTACCCAGGAAGAATAAACCGAGTGATTCTCCAACCTTCACATGTCTACCACCAGGTGCTCAACTTCCACTCTCCCCACACCTGAGTGCTCCCTAACTGCTGGATATTTATTTGGATGGTGTTCTACTGGTTAGAGATTCCTCCATCAGCATTTAACATTTTCATATGCGAGATGTACTTGGACCGTTTGGCCTTCCTTCTTTTCATTGATCACATTAGGAAATGGACGTTCCCAATTGACATTTATAGACACAAGTTTATGGCCCCCTTTTTCCATGCTCTTTCTATTTGATCCTGATTAATTTATTATTTAATGTTGTCAAAGTAAAACCTGTTGGTATAAAAGTAAATCAAACACAAAGTAAAACCTGTTGGTCACCTTTAACTATTTGTCAAATTCTATTTTAAGTATTACTAGTATTGTTTTCTGCTTGGCTATTTTGGTTAGAAGTCCTACATTTGTGGATTGTTTCCTTGTGGGGTAATTTCAGATCCGTCCCTTGTGGAGACATTACTTCCAAAACACACAAGGTCTTATCTTTGTCGTAGACAGCAATGATCGAGATCGTGTTGTTGAGGCTAGGGATGAGCTTCACAGGATGTTGAATGAGGTAAGAGAAGTCATTCTGTAATGTTCAATTAGCAAGTTATGCCAATTTGATTATCGATTGTATTCACTGTCTTTCTTTAAACTTGAATATGTTACTGGGTACTGTGGCAGGATGAATTGAGGGACGCTGTTTTGCTTGTATTTGCAAATAAGCAAGATCTTCCAAATGCAATGAATGCTGCTGAGATTACTGATAAACTTGGCCTTCATTCCCTCCGTCAACGCCACTGGTAGATCAACTTGCATGCACACTATTATTATCGATTACCCAAATTTGATAGAGATCCTCTCAATCCCAAACTGAGTAATACCTTTTTTTTATCACTGTCTCTTGTACAGGTATATCCAGAGCACATGCGCCACTTCCGGAGAAGGTTTGTACGAAGGACTGGACTGGCTCTCCAACAACATTGCTAACAAGGTATGCATCTTCGAGTGACAGTACACATCGACTTTCACGAGATGACATTTTTATTCACTTGCTCATGTTTTTTCAAACTCTTTATGTTTTCCTTCTATTCTTTTGCAGGCATAGATGGCGTTTTCTTTTATGATGGTTTTTGAGCTGCAATCAGTGTCAGAGTTGGAGATACTATTTGTTGTCCCTTTACTCCATTTTTTTTACCCATATTTCTTTTTTATCTTTTTGTGAGAACAGAGCTATTGTTACTTGTTATCCCATAATATGTTCATTTTGTTTATGATTATAGATACTGAAATTTCTTTCTCTTAGATGCGCAGTATAATTCAGAAAAGTTCTCTTATTTTGCTGTTTCGAAATCTTAGCTTAATCCGGTCACTTCTGATAATGTTGTACTACCACCGACATTTATATTTGTTCTTTTCTCTTTACCGAGCATGGGAAGGGGGGATTTGAGATCTTTTGTTTCCCTTTCAATTTTTTCCTATGTGTGTAGGTGGATGCAAGTACTTTCCGTGCATGCAGGGTTTTTTTTGTATTGAGATCCCATATCCTTTCTACCACCCTGTTCTCCTCGATCAAAAGTGGAAGCGGTTTACTAAGAGTCCGATTAGCATACTTAAAGGCATGATATCTTAACAGCTAATAACCAATCAACCGGTATCATACAAGTGATATTGCAATCAACTAATAACCACCTTCCGCCTTCAAAAAAAAAAACCACCTTCTTCCTACTTAAATTGTCGCTTTAATAAAAAATGGGAACCGCGTCATCTTGCTTCCTTCCTCACTCCTAAACAATAAAGTTTGAGGATATGAGGACTACTTCCTTTTAGTGCGAACAAGTGATATACAAAGAGGGGACCACTTCGTTTTGGTGCAAACTAACTGAGCCAAAAGGTTCATTATATGCAACAAACTTCCCTTCTGGTTTGATACTTTGATCTAGAGCCTTCAACCAAAGAATTGGCGTACTGGGGATACACCCACCAGTATATGAACTATATGATTATTTAAGGTAGTTCTGTTTCCTATTAAATAAGAAGGCCGTAGAGTCTTGGACCAGTCACCCATCAAAGAATTTGTGCCTTGACGAATTCACACAAGTTTGGCCAGGATAAGCTTGCCTTTTAATAGCTCAACTCAATAGATCTGCTTTGCATATATACTCCGAGTGACCGAAATCAGGGTTCAAAGTATCCACATGCACATTTCAGTTCTACCAGGACAATGAATCCATTTCACGTCATTCTTCAGATGTTTCTCCTCAGTGATGGCAAAATCCTCCACTGCACTACGTCAAAGTCAACAATAACATTGACGGTGCTTGGCGCTTAGTCTCTTGCAGCTGTTGGAGTAGTCATCAGTGATGATGGTGGTAATGTCATTGGTGGCAGAAGCCGAGGCCCTTGCAGTTTTAGCTGAAAGTATGACCATGAACTGTATTATTCTGGAGAGTGATTTTGGCAGGCTCACACCATTGTTCTTGAATGCAGGAGACTCCTTCCAGAGTTTCTTTCCTTTTTTCTTCTGCATACTCTTATTCATGTAATAAGGTAGCCCATGGGCATGCTCAACATTCTATCTTGCATGATCGCTCCATAACCTGGTCTGGTCTATGGTGCTATCTGAGATGTAATTTTTCTTTATGAATAGTTTAAAGTATCCACATCCACAAAATGCAAAAACTGCATTTCATTCATTTCTAAAGGGTAATACCTTTTTTTTCAAGCTGATGTTCCAGGGTTAAGCATGATAGGAGGGTTCTTACGTTTGAATATAGGGAAAATCTATGCTGCCAGTAAGATTGAAAGAATACCAGAAAGGCTTTGACCAATCAAAACCTTCACATAAATTTTTATTTGGTTACCAATTTTTATGATACCAGTTCATTGGTTACAAAACCTTTGGGTATCAGAAGTTGAACCCTTGAACGTAAAAGACAGCCCCTTAAATCCCCCTAAATAGCATTGCGTTGTATTAAAAAACAGACACGTATCATATGATACACACCAATACGTTGTGATATTTTGAACTTGACCACAATCAGCTTGTAAGGAATTTGATCCGGAGCGAATTATTTCCGCATGGGCAATGGGCAAGGCATCTGATTCACCACCACCGACTAGTGAATATGTCAAAAATTGATTTCCCAATCAATTTATAAATTTCTAAGTTGAAACCACAAAGATGTTATCCAGCAATAAATATGCACACTATTATTAGCCTAGTTTTCTTGCATGAAGTAAATGATCTCAACTTGAATTCGTTTTCATGCTTGTCAGCTCGAGATATGGCCATTGCACCAATGCATTTAGCCAAAAAAAAAAAAAAAACTTACACAACTTACAACTATACCTTCCTTCAGTACGAAAGTATTGTGATTTAGCATCCAAGAAACCTGATCTAAAATTCTGATACAAGATACATCACCTGGGGTATCTGAATACCTAATCCCCCGGGGGATAACCCCAAAGAGAAAAAAGAAGATAAAAATAGAGCAATAGAATAAAAAATAAGAAAAACAATAAAAATAAAAATAAAACTGATGGATTTCAATGTCACCCCATAAACAAAGTATACCAGGGCAGTCTCCACTAATTGCATTTGTTGTGGGATAAATCCACTACTGCCTCAAAACGCGGTTTGAGCTGAATAAGAAATTTTCCTCACCTGCCACAGTTGAGTGAAGCCTTCCTGCAGCCCAACCATTGTTCATTGCACGAACAACACTACTGGCTGGATCGCCAACAACTCGGGTGCCCTCAACTTTCTTTTCGAATTTCAAAAGACCACTTGCTTTCCTCTCTTTTCTTCTCCTCCTTTCTTCATCCCTCTCCTTCCTAAGCCAACTTTCCACGGTTCTCTACAGATCCCAGTAAAATGATACAGATCAGCTACAGAAAGGAGGCATTTCTTACAGGGGCATATTTAATGTTACAAAAATTGTTCTTTGGGTTTAGTTTGGAAAGAGTACAAATAAATACAAAAAACAGGGCTTTGCACTCCACATATTTGTATTTGTACTATTTCCAAACTGAGCCTTAGGAATTAGCAAAGAGAAGAAATAAAAATTTGTAAGCACATTCCAGAATCCATATTATGAAGGCACCTAAGTTAGGTTGCATATATGCTAAAGAAGTAAGGAAGAAGTCTCATTTCACATGATAATTTTTTTTTTCACCATAAATTGGAAAATGCATTCAAGATGTGAAAGAAGGTACGAAACCGAGAAGCCTCAGAAGGAATCCAACCTAATTATGTACCATTTAATTGGAGAACAAGGTTTGGAGTTTAAACCAACTAACCATCAGGGACAAATTGCTCATCTCCTTAACTTTCTGTATTGGCATTGCCAATTGCAACCTCCCATGAGCTATATAAACCTGAACAGAATTGAACATTTTATTAGGAAATGACACAAGAACCCATTCAATGTTTGAAAACAGAACAAAGCAATAGTCAAATCAAAATTGAGCCATACTATATGTGAAGGCCAATCCTCAAGACCATCAAATATATGGGTTGCATATATAATTGTAGCACCCCGTTCATTACATTCCTTTCTAAGGAACCTCAAAAGGTCAGCCCTTGCTAGCACATCAAGGTCAACAGTAATTTCATCAAGAAGGAGAACCTACAGAAACAAGGAAGTACTTGTTAAACGCATACCAGTTAAAATCAACATTGGGAATCTAAACATTTAGCTCTTAGCTCTTAGAAAAAACAATGAGAGGGAACACCTTAAATGGCTTCAGAAGGCCCATACAAATTTGCACACGTCTTCTCTGACCATCGGATGCCTTGTGCATTCTCCATGATAGATCAATATCTAACACCTAGGACACCAGATAAACCAAATGACAAATAAATGACACTAAATATCATTTTTTTTATGAATAACATAAACCATTGATTAAAAATACATGCAAAGAAAAGCATGTACAAAGATTTCAAGCATCCCGAGATTAGTCAACTTAGATAGCCGCCTGAATAACCATTTTACATTTACAACCGTAAATGTAAAATAATTGCTTAGATACACTGTATTCTGATGTTACATGACTAACCACCTGTCCCCAAAATAATCATTGGTTTACCTTCTCTCAAAATCTGTCATACCATTGGCTGATCTAAATAACCATTTTACATTTACAACCCTTTCCCTCTTCAGTATTTTAATTTCTTTCACTAGTTGCTTGTACTGCCACGGGATCACCTCCTCATTTTTCAGCCATTTTATCCCAACTGCTGAATACCTTCCACTTAAACATTTTTGCAAGTACACTTCCTTGCTAGTCTCAAGACTCTCAACTCCTATAAAACAGTTTAAAGGTTCTGCCTTTATTATGTTTGCTTACCCAATTGGTTGTGAGAACATAACCAAAAATGTTCCATTGATGACCCCTACCTGCTGGACCAACATCTCCATTAAGTATATAGTTGGAGGTTGGTCTTCTCTGCTTAACCATGTACATTTGGNGGGGGGGGGAGGGTATTTTATCACATACAATTTCTGATAGCTGGTTTATTGTCGTTTGAATCATATTTTAACTCTCTAATGTACCCATAATGACCAGGAAGAGAGAATGGAACATTTCATCTAAGAGTTCAGATTTGGGAAATGAAAAACAGAAGAAATTAATTAACCATTACTAGCCACCAGAACTCATGGTCAATTTAATTCAACAAACTCACAAGTCTTTTAATCATTCAGAAGCAGGCATTCTGAACACCACTAAAATGACAAACTACAAAACCAGATTCTCAAAGCTGAGATTTCTCCATTTCAGAGAAAATGTATATCATACCTTTATGAGTTCAGCTCTCCTCTGTGGATCAATACCTGAAACACCAAATATCATTTTTTCTGCAGAAATGTCCATTTGTATTGGAACTTCAAACCCAGCAAAAGCGACATCCCGCCTCCACTGCACAGAGTATGTCACATTCAGTGTGAATTGTTTATTTATGATAGACTGCTGTGGTAAATATAAAGTTATTATGCCATAAAGACAGTGTATTGTTGGATCTGTGACACAAATGGCTCAGCAGGTGCAAGCAGGACCTTTCATTCAATGCAAATTAACCAGCATACAGTATGCCTTAGAGACTGAAAAAGATGACCTTAAGATGATTGTAAAGCCCCATAAGTAGATCTTGAACAAAGAATGAGCAAATTCTCTCTGATCATCCAAATGCATGTGAGAGAAGTCTTCTTTTTTCTTTTCTTTTTTTTTGTGTTTCTAATTTTTACTATGCATCTTCTTTTCTTCATTTTTCTAGAGTAGCCGCATTTACATTATTGGATATGCCTATAAATATAAACGAAAAACCATGAATTTAGGACTGAATTAGAAAGTAAAGCATGTGAGGTTGTGAGAACAAGATGGTTTGGTGAAACAATTAGGAGTGATGCTGCTATGCCAAGAACAAATTCTTTTTATATCTTATCATCTTCGAGCGCTTACACAAACAGGTAAACAACCTATTGTCTCCATTGCTTGAAGAACAACTCTAGTTAAGTTCATTAGCCCTAGAAAAGAAACGGCCTAAAGGGGCTATCTAAGATTAGCTTAAGAAGGCATGAAGATCCTATTGTTACCAATTGGTATTTGAATTAGCCAATATTTCTATTTCCTGATGAAATCTATGAAAGAAGTTCCACAGGGGCAAACTCAACAAACCACTCGGTAGACCCATATTTGCAGTTCAGTTAGACTTCTCGAACTCGCCAAACCGTTTCGTGAATTGATGGAGTAAATTTTTGTTACTTTGGATGGATAATTAGTAGAGTTAATTCTATGTAAAAGTCGGCAAAATGTGAACCTTTTAGCGATGAAATACTGTAATTTGATTAGAAAGATGAAGAACGAACCTCTCCACCAAGATAGCAGAGATCACCGGACGACGTCAAACCGGTATCATGGAAAGCCGATTTACCGAGCACTCGAACCATGTGGGGCTCCACCATGTGTTTCCCTCCTAATATCTTCAGAATTGTCGTCTTCCCTGAATCATCACCGTAGGATTAGAACAATAACCAACGTCAACACTATATGATTAAGAATTGTATCAGTTTCAGGAATTTGGAGGGGAGAGGTCGAACCGGCGCCATTGGAGCCAACTAGAAGGCAGCGGCCTCCAGTATAGAGAGACAGAGAGAAGTCGTCGATCAAAGGCGTGGAACCGGGCGGAGGGTGACCATCGATGCCGGGATACGTGAACTTGAGGTTGTTGATCTCGATCGTAGGTTTGGGATCCTCTGCCATTCTCGCACGCTACGACTTCGAGGGGCGATGGTGGAGGAAGAGGAGCCAGGATCTTGGTTTTGAAGAGGGAGGTTAGCGAGTCGAGTTGTTGACTCAGAGTAGGAGTGAACCGAGTTGAGGAAGCGTGGCGTCATCTCACCCTCCAGTGTCCTTTCACCAACTCTTTAGTTTGCCGACCCAAAAAGTGAAATACAATTCAATTAACAGGTTGTTTTCCGAAGGAATTTCTAGACAGTGTTTATGGTATATGGAAACTCAATGATGCCGAAACAACTTTGACCTTTAGCCTGTGATACAGTAGCCGAGACTCGAGTCGAGATGTTCACTTTGTGTGATCCGCTCATGATAGAGCGCGCCTCACACCGATCTCACAGTCATATCATGAGGAACATCTCCCGTGAATATGGGATGTGCATGTAAACGTTAATGCTGCCGAATACATTATTTGCCTGTTAGGCAAGTCTTTTCCAAGAGATCTATTACATCTAATAGTTCAAAAACAGGTAAGCTTTTGTAAATAGATTTTGGAAGAATAAAGACTTTGGTTTGGTCGCATTTAGCAAGTCCTTTTATACGGGCTTTGGGCTGTTTAGAATCTCGGAAGCTTGAATTTTGGGTTTTTTCTATTTGGCAATAGAAAGATTTATTGAAAAAAAGCTATAACCCATAAAAGATGCCAACGGCTCAAATTTGGGCTTTTTCATGAAGTTTCAAATGAAGCTTTTACAATCTTTTAGCACCCCTTGTCTTCTTTGAATGTGTGGTATGATGCACACGTTTGGGAGAAAATGGGTTATCTTTTCACAAAAAAAACTATTTGAATGTGTAAGTGGGGTCCACTTTAGAAAATATATGTGGGACCTATCTCTAAAAATGCATGTAGACTCCACATACATGTCCATAAATGGACCCACATGCATGCCCACTAATGGCATGTGGGGCCCACCTTGTAAAATGTATATGGTCCCACATACATGTCCACACATGGACCCCACATACATGCCATTAGTGGACTTGCATGTGTGTCACAAGTGACTCCTTCACCGTGCCATCAAGCACCTTCCACTGTGCCATCAATGTGCTTTCATGGTGTCATTTACCTAGTATGATTTTCCCCTCTTTTGATGTTTCTTTTTATCACTCCCCCAAAAGTTTAATATACTCTGAGGGGAGGTAGGTAGTCAAGTGAGTCAATAGTGTGTAAAGGTTAAGCACGAGATCCCCTCAACACTAAACTGTGTTATTGTGCTTACCATCAATCAATGCAATACATGTAACATTTTGACTATTTTGTGTGCCTTTTTGTTGCCTTTTGTAGGCTTTCTCAACCCCATCGAGCACCGCACAGGGCCTTGTTGACTAGCCTCGTGATAGTTGGTATCAGAGCAAATTGCTCTTCAATGCACGTGACCTTTGCATAGCAACATTAGTGGTGGCACAATGAAACACAACAAGGAACTCACCAACGAGATTCAGCATGACTTTGCCCATGCTAGGGAGATCGATGAGGCACAAGGCAGTGAAGGAGTCACTCATGACATATGGGCCCATATCCACCAATAGTATGTGGGGTTTACCTTGAAAAATGTATGTAGGCCCTATAAACATATCCACACATGGACTCCATGTGCATGTCTAATGGTATGTCGGCCCCATCTTGTAAAATGTACGTGCGCCCTACATACATGTCCACTAATGGTATGTGGAGTCCACCTTGAAAAATGTATGTGAGCCCCACATATATGTCCATGCATGCCCACCAATGGTATATGGGGCCCACATTGAAAAATATATGTGGGCCCCATATACATATCCACACATGGACCTCACATGCATGTCCACCAATGGTATGTGGGGGCCCACCTTATAAAATGCATGTAGACACTGCATACATATCCACTAATGGTATGTGTTGGGTCTACCTTAGAAAATGTATGTGGGTCCCACGTGTTAAATGAAGGGTTCGTTGGCCCAAATACATTCATATATACATAATTTAGGGTGAACATTATTCGGTTTTACCAAACCAAAAATTTTGATTTCGATTTTTGATTAAATCAATTCAATTATTTTGATTTTTGGTTATTTCAGTTTTCAGTTTCGATTTTTAGAATTAAAGTTTTGGTTAGCCAAATTAATCGAAATTTTTATTATTATATATAATATATAATATGTAATATATAATATATAATATATTATATTTTAATATATTAATATATAATATACTGAAATTCGATTTTATATATTATTAAAATTCGGTTTAAACCGAAATAACGGAAAACCAAACAAAAAATTTTGATTTTCCTAAATTTCAGTTTCGATCTCGATTTTTAAAATTTCGATTTATTCGGTTCGGTTTTTAACCGACTAAACCGAATGCTCACCCATAACACATATATGCACGTATCCATTTCGGCGGAGCCATAAAGATCAGAAGACAGAAACTTGAGCTTGAGATTGAGAGTGTGAGACAAAGATACACGAGGCGCAGGAGGCACTGAGGCAAGAGATAAGGGTTTTTTAGGGCAATGGAGGAGGCGAAGGGAGTGGTGAAGCACATACTACTGGCGAAGTTTAAGGATGACATACCATCCGACAAGATAGAACGAGTCATCAAGGGTTACGCCAATCTCGTCAATCTCATCGAGCCCATGAAAGCCTTCCACTGGTACCTCTCTCTCTCTCTCTCTCTCTCTGTTTGTCTGTTCATGGTTCTTCTTGGTGTTAGGCTCCAGAAAGAATCTTTCACTCGCTAGAATTTTGGCCGAGTTCTTGTCGGCTTACCGGTCTCATTTTCAGCAACGCTATAGCAACTTTAATCTACATAACCTTCATTGTAGTCTATTCTTGCATGTTCCGAACTGCAATTTGAGTTTGAATGAAATGTAGCTCTCTCATATTCGAGATAATCTTACATTGTGATATTATTCTTCTAGTCAATTTAGTAGGACTAGTGCAAGTCGTTTCTAAATTGGGTAAACTACTGCAAATTGAGAATATATTGAATTGGGTTTGGGATTCTTTGTTTCTACTTTGAAGACATACTTGCCGCCCTCCTCAGCATGGGAAAACTATTGTACTTAGCACTTGATTGTTAACAACTTAATTTTATAGGTTTTACTTCAACATATAACCACGAATTTACTTGTCAACTTTTTTGTTGGTCATGGAAACCTTAACAAATTGGTCTTCTCAGTGGTGATGAGGTGAATAATGATGCGAATACATAAAAGAGTATATGAACAAATTAGTGCAGATATCGCTTCCAAGTGAATATCTTCTAATCTGTTAGGGTGTTCCTGGTTTTAGTAGCTAAGAAGAACAAGAAGTGATGTATAGTGAAATATCTACTTTTTCTATATAATTATGAGATAGCATGTATGATCATGGAAAGTTTTTGATATCACTCATATGATCAAAACAGTTCAAATAAAAAGGTGCCCATAGTTTCATGAAATATTTTTTTTTCCTGAAAATGGTAGTTGAATTCTATTAAGGGCCAAGCCCCGCTCCCCCAAAAGTATTCTGTATAGAGCTCTTCAAGGAAAGGAGCGTTCATTCCCTATATCATTGTCATGTATATAATTACACAAGCGTACCAACTACATCTGAGCTAATCATCTGGTTCCAGCAGCTCAAGAGTGTGGGCTTTGTAAGATCAGCCAGGTTGTTTCATAGGCTTGTTCATCTGATTATGGTCTTTTCCACTTTTCCCAGCACAGATTTGAGAGGGGAGGCTTGATCTCTGTCTAGATAGTCTCACACAGGGCCCTGTTTATTAGATATCCTTAAAGTGGTTTTCTGCCATGTAGAAACTAGAAAGATTATGTGGCTAATTCATGTCTTCTATGTTTTCTGTGTATTCATTTACCTAGTTGACATCAGCCGTATTCTACAGTAGTTGAGTTTTTTGCCAAGTGATATTAGCTGTAAAAGAGTTTGCCAGAAGTATGGCCAAGTCCAAGGGGCTACTTCCCCCACCTCTTAACACCATGCATATACAACTCATCATTGCTGGGGTGATGCATGTATCATGTTTGTTCCACACAATTTAAATTTGGTAGAACTCAAAAAGCTACTTAATTTGGTTTTCTAGATTCACCCTAATTGTTATACCGCCTGAAATTTTGGAGGATGCACTAAGGAAAGAGTTGGAGGCAAATATTATGGATCACGTCTACACTAAGGCTTTCTTTTCTCTTGGATGTAACTAGCCTGTCTGTTGAAACTTAGTTGTGATTTAGTAGAAGTTCAAATAAATGTAATATTGGAAGAAATGTCCATACCTATGCAAGCTCTCAGAATATACTTGTGGGATCTCTATTTCACTGAATACTTTCATTTGTTTCCATGTGACAATGGGACATAAATTTTATGCATCACATTTACAAAGCATTAAATCAAACAAAAAACTATGCCTAATTTTGATATTTTTATGTATCATAAGAGAAACGGATCAATTCATTTGGCCAAAAGAACAAAGAAGTTGTGGTATTCATGCATTCATTTTTTAGATGGATCCCTAGGGAGCTGAACACTGTGGCTGATGGTTTTACAAAGTTGGGTGTTCACAGGGAAGGATTGTATAGTGAAAGCTCACTGTGTATGTAAAATTTTGAGGGGGATCTTCTTTTTTATGGGTTGTATCCTCTATGTACATTTTGTCCCTTTTATAAATAAAATTATGGTTATGTTTTCTCAAAAGGCGGGGGGGGGGGGGAATAAATTGCACTAAATCCATTAGCTATGGTTACATTCTCCAGTCAATATCTGTGAGACATCTGATTATGCAAATCAAGATAGGGAAATCATTAATAGTTACTTGAGGAATATGTAAGTTCACCAACCACTACCTTCAGGTTTGTTGAGTAAAGGCTCCTACTTTTTCTTTTATTAGGAGTTAAGGTTCCTACTTGGATGTCCAAAATAAAAATATTTAGCCAATTCATAACATTTTGATTAAATTGGTTATGTTGGCATGTTGGAGTTAGGCTTCATACATTGAACTGCGAAATTTTAGCATGTGATTTTGAAAATAAAACTAAAAATTCATGCCAAAAATAAGAGGGTAGATAGAAAATGAACTCAACTATGGCTAGCTAGTGAAAAAAAAATGATAACAAGAGTAATGAATTTGTAGAGGAAGCAGAAGTTTTTGGTGTCCAAATTCCTAATGTTTTAACCAAGATCTATAGTTTTGAGTTTGTTTTGGGTGTCTGAGAATCTTTGAGTACTCCAGAGGGCATTTCTGACACACTATAACAGTTTATATCAATTCTGAAAGTCTGAGTAATCTGCCCTTGTAATGATGCATTCACAGAGGGTGGATACCCCAAATAAGGTGTACAACACCAATGGAGTATGGCATGCTAATGTTCCCAAGTCGATAGGCTTTCTTACAAACATTGCCCATTCTGGGATCAACCAAAATAATATTAGATGATAAAGAAGCAAAGCCAAAGTTCATTATTAAAGGAACTCAAAATGGTGGTCAGATGGTTGAGAGGCAGTATCGATGAAATATGGCTGTATATGAACTTTTTAAGGGAAGTAAGAAGTTAGGCAAGTAGACTGATGACAAATGCTTCATGAGTACCACCAATAGCAGCAAACGTATTGGTGGATGATCTTGCAAAGAATAGGGCTAACAGGGGAAAATTTTTCTTGGGTCAATTGTTACTTCAAGAAAGTTGAACTATTTAAGGGTTGGGTAGCAGCTGCTGGCCTATAAAGTTGGCTGCTTAGCAAAATTATATGCTACTTGTACTCTAGCAATTTTTATACTCTAATTAACAAAGTTAATATTTATTAAAAAAATTGAATACCCAAATTGTAGTTTCTCCCCATTAACAGGATCCTTGTGCCATTTCTGTCTTCGCTTTAATAAATAACACCACAAAGGCTAAATAAAGAACCATATGATATGATGGATGAAGATGTCAAGCTACAAAGATAAAGGTCAAGGGCTACAATCAGCAGCGGGTTCCAAGATTTGTTGAGATCCTCTTTGGCGGGCGGTGGCGGAAAGTCTGGTTAGTGATGGAAGCTGAAGCGTTGCTGTGGGAGGAAGATAAAGAGGTTGGAGACGATGATGATGATGTGTCCAGAAGACTGCCAGGTGGACAAGAATTATTGGCAGAAGTCGGTGCTGTGTTAGAAGGCGGACCGTCGAACTTTAACCTGTTTGGCTCCAATTTGACATTAAAAAGGGTTTTTTCAAAAATTTTTGAATTTCACCAGTCGGTTTGCCCGAAATACAGACCGTCTTTTGTGGACGTTTTAAAAAAGAATGGTCCACACGTTGCTTCTGGGTCGAACCGGCAAACTGAACCAATCTTCAAGTCTCTCCCACGTGAAGACTTAAAAGGCACATGCGAGGGCTTTAGTAAGGCGATGGGGGACGGAACTAATGATCTATCATCGGCCCCATCGACCCAAGACAGTCGAACTGTCTCGAAGTCTTCGAAGTTGCGGTGGGTTAGGCGCAATACGACGCTACGATAGGTCTAAGGCGGATTGGATGGACGATGATGTAGAGGATGAATGGGTAGACTATGAAGAATTAGATGACGGTTTTCGTTCTGAAGATGGTTCTAGCAGTAAAAGTTACGTAGACACTATTCAGGTCTGCGTGGATAGTGGGGATGATCTTCAAATCGTTTCCCTTTTTGATGAAAAGGAGGACGCAGTTAGAAAGAGATCACAAGGTGGAGAGGTCTTTCACTCAACTACGAACAGAGATGGCGATTTGCGACTAACACCGGCTAGTGGTTTGAAGGGTCTTTCATCTTATCAGGTGGGGAATAGAGGTATCCAAAGGGGTAGCGAACTCATTCCATGCGAGAGACAAGAGCAAGATGATAAGTTGGTGGGTCAGCAGGGGATCCAGGAGGTTACAAAGGATGTTCTGGGTGGGGGTATAAGTACTGTGATGGCTAAGTCAGATACACTTTCGAAGCCTTCCCAACTAGTTAGTACTGAAGCTGGGGATTTGGAGAGGTACCAAATGGATAATGCGCTCTGGAACTCTTGTTACTAAAACGCAAGTCATCCTTTCGTCTTAGCCTTCTAGTAACCTCGAAAACTCAGTTGGTTTCGTTTTTTATGCTAATTTGTGTTTTGTTGGTCCTACAATTTCGTCAGATTCCATCCAAGGCTTCGATTTACCTATGAATTTGCCAAAAGGAGAGATGAGTAGGGGATTAGGAGATGTAGGTGGTGTGAGAGAGATAATGGGAGAGAAAAAAGGGGTGGGTGGGGCTGAGGCTAGGGGTGAAAAAATGCTGGAGACTAAGGAAGGAGCAGGTGCTGATAGAGGGATGGGTACAGAAGGGGAAAAAGAAACCACTAAAAGGATTCAATCCCAAGAAGGTAAGTGTGATGAGGAGGCTGGGTGGGTCTTAGTTAAGGGGAAGGAAGAAAAGAAGGAGACGGGGAATAGTAAAAAAAGCCAAAAAGATCAGAGTGTAAAGGACCTGACGGTGGTTTTGGTTGCTAAAATGGGGTTGAAAGTGGAATAAATTAAGGAAAAGGATTCTCAAAATAAGATAAGTAAAGAGGGGGCAAGAGGAGAAGAAAGCTAAATGAAGTTGAAAAACTCATTAGTGATGTGGAGGGGGATAAGGAGTTTAGTGCTAGGGGAGGGAGAAGGAGAGGGGATCTATAGGCTAGGGCAGGGTTGGGGTCAGTATTTGATGTGATCATGAAGATTATTAGTTGGAATTATTAACAGCTGAACAGAGGAGAAGAGAGGTAGGAGAAGAGAAGAGGAAGAGAGGAGAGAAGAGAGAAGAGAGGAGAGGAGAGAAGAGAGAAGAGAAGAGAAGAGAGATTTGGAGTCTGCTACCGTGCTGGCGGCGTAGGCTTATGTTAATATATATAGGGTGACCATAATTAGAAGGGAAATGACCCTTATGCCCCTACCTAAGTTACAACATAAAAAACAAAAGAAAAATCTGCTTTAATTTGTCCAAATGGACCCTAACTCAGCAGAATACAAACATAATAAATAAAGTTAACATTCCAACACTCCCCCTCAAGTTGGGACATGGATGTCAATCATGCCCAACTTGTCACACAAATTATTATGCCGCACGTGTTGAAGGCCCTTGGTGAAGATGTCTGCAAGTTGTTCCTCTGAACTAACATAAGGAGTGCACACATCTCCGCTCATAAGTTTTTCTCTGATAAAATGCTTGTCCACTTCAATATGTTTTGTTTTATCATGGAGGACTGGATTAGCAGTAATGTTGATAGCAGCCTTGTTGTCACAGTAGAGTGGCATAGGTTTGTTAACTGGAAAACCCAACTCTCCTAACAAATTTTTTATCCACATCATTTCAGCAATTCCATGAGACATAGCTTTGTATTCTGCCTCAGCTCTGGATCTAGCCACCACACTTTGCTTCTTACTTCTCCAGGTGACTAGTTTTCCTCGCACAAAGGTACAATACCCACTGGTAGATTTTCTGTCATCGATTGCCCTTGCCCAATCAGCATTTGTATACACCTCCACTTTCAAATGTCCATGTTTCTGGAAAAGCAAACCAGCTCCTAGGAACTTCTTGAGGTATCTAAGGATTCTTTTTATAGCTTCAAAGTGAGTTGTCTTAGGATTATGCATGAACTGGCTAAGAACACCCACTGCATAGGCAATATCGGGTCTAGTCATAGACAAATATAAGAGTCTCCCTACAAGTCTCTAGAACTTCTTTACATCTTTCAAACACTCCCCCTGACTGTCTCCTAGCTGATGGTTGGGTTCAATGGGTGAATCAATTGGTTTCATTCCCAACTTGCCTCTATCCTCTAATAGATCTAGTACATATTTTCTTTGGGAAATAAAGATGCCCCTTTTGAGCGGGCAACTTCAATTCCAAGAAAATAACATAAGGGGCCTAGATCTTTCACTTCAAATTGAGTGGCTAGGAATTTCTTCAGCTTCTGTATTTCAGTCTTCCAGTTTCTTGTGATTACTATCATCAACATAGACAATTAAAGCTGCAATTTTCCCTTCACCTTTTTTCACAAATAAAGTATGATCTGACTAGCATTGTTTGAACCCCATCTGTTGCACTGCTAAATGAAACCTATTAAACCAGACCCGAGGTGATTGCTTCAACCCATATAAAGATTTTTTTAACTTGCACACCTTCTACTCACTACCTTTGGCACAAAAATCTAGAGGTTGAGTCATGTAAACCTCTTCCTCTAGGTCACCATTCAAGAATGCATTCTTGATATCCAACTGATGAAGTTCCCAATCAAGGTTAGCTGCCAGTGAGAGGAGGATTCTGATTGAATTCATCTTGGCTACTGAAGCCAAGGTTTCTGCATAGTCTATTCCATACACTTGTGTAAACCCTTTGGCCACTAATCTAGCTTTGTATCTTTCTACTGAACCATCAACTCTATGCTTTACTGTGAATACCCACTTGCAACCCACTGGTTCCTTCCCTTCAAGAAGATCCACCAACTCCAGGTGCCATTTTTGTGTAAGGCATTAATTTCTTCCTTCATTGTATCTGTCCATTCAGATTTGGATAAAGCTTCTGCCACATTCTTAGGAATAAAGACACTGTCAATAGAGAAAAGGAATGCACGGTATGAAGGTGAAATATGATCATAGGACACAAAGTGAGAGATAGGATGATTAGTAGTATAAGACCTAACATCCTTTCTCTTAGCAATAGGAAATCAAGATCATTAACAACAGGAGGATCAATGTTAAGAGATTGAAGCATATCAATGGGAACAAGTGTACCTGGCTGATGAGGAGGATCTATCTCTGGAGAGTCTGATGATATTGGTTGCATAGTTTCAGGTTCCACGGCTCTTGAACTTTGCTAGCTCTTATGGTGGCGAAGAAAGACCCGAAATGGAGAAGGGTCGGGAAGAGGAGGTAGTTGAACCTGAGTGTGTTTCTCCTCGACCCTACTCTCCCCTTGAAGAGAAACCGAGAAGGGTTGACTCTCAAAGAATGATACATCCATGGAGACATAGTACTTGCGTGAAGCAGGATCGTAGCAGCGGCAACCCTTTTGAGATAACGGATAACCAAGAAAAACACAAGGAGTGGCACGGGGATCGAGTTTTCCGTGAGTAGGAGACAAGTCATGAACGAAGCAACGACACCCAAAGGCACGCATTGGAATGGGGGACAACGGAGTTGTAGGAAACAAGAGTTGATATGGGGCCTTATACTCTAGTAATCGAGATGGCATACGGTCGATGATATATGCAACACACATAACAACATTCATCCAAAAACGTTTCGGAACATTCATATGAAGTAATAAACCACGAGCTACCTCAAGTAGGTGACGATTTTTCCTTTTAGCAACACCATTTTGTTGAGGTGTCCTGGCACAAGAGCTTCGATGAAGAGATCCACATGAAGCAAAGAACTCCGTGAGATCCACATGAAGGAAAGAACTTCGTGACATCACTATGGAAGTACTTTTTTGCATTGTCTGACTGGAAAATGTGAATTTCAGTTTGAAATTGAGTGAAAACCATTCGTTGAAAGTTTTTCACAATCTTTGGCACTTCTTCTCTAGATTGCATAGGATACACCCAAGTATATCTAGAGTAATCATCGATCAAAGTAATGAAATATTTATATCCAGTCTTAGTAGGTAGAGAAATAGGGCCCCAAACATCAGAATAGACAATATGAAAAGGAAAGGAATTTCTACAATGTTTGCTCAATTGGCATGTATGACACTGCAATTTACTAACTAACAAAGACTTAAACAACTCAGGAAACATAAGTTTTAAAGACTCAAGCGAAAGGTGACCAAGATGATTATGCCACAAGTAGGCATGACTTTCACTAGAAGAACTTAAAGACTCTATAGCTACAAGACCAACTTTATTCTCCAACACGTAGAGGCCATCCACCATGCTTCCTCTACCAATCGTCTTCCTCGAGGTCAAATCATGAAATACACACGAATAAGGAAATGTCACTGAACAATTCAAGGAATGAGTAATACTGCTAATGGAAAGTAAATTGATAGATAATTTAGGAACATGCAACACATTAGAGAGGGCAAGACCAAGAGGAAGGGAGATGGTTCCTTGACCGGCTATGGCGGAATAAGACCCATCAACCAGTCTCACCCTATCTCTCCTAGAGAGGAGGTTATATGTTTGAAATAAATTTGACTTACCAGTCATGTGGTTTGAGGCTCCAGAGTCAATTATCCAAGGGGAATCAGATGTATGAACGCATGGAAGGCAGTGGCAGTGTTACCTGATGTAGACACAAAGGAAGTAGGAGTAGGGCCAGAATCTATCTAGCGAAGTGTCCTACCATATAATTCCAAGTGGTCACGAAAGGAGTTGATGATCTCTTCCTTGGGGTCAGAACTAGAGTGTCGCTCTTGGGGTACCATGGGACTAGTCTCTTAAGATGCCACATTTGCTGAGTTATATTTCTTCTGACTCTGTTGGGTTGGCTTCTTACTCGGATCAGACTTCTTACTCAATTCCTGAGCCCATTTTGGCTTGCCATGAAGATCCCAACATGTGTCTTTAGTGTGCCTGGATTTTTGACAGTGAGTGCACCAAAGTTTGCCTTTGTCATCCACTCTCTTTTGTGAATCTCCCTTTTTAAAAGAACCTCCAACATTTGAACTTGTACCCCCTCGAATAGCTAGTGCAATCGGTTCCCCTTCTGTACAATTCATCACACTTCTTCTACTTTCTTCAAACTGAACTAGGGTATAAACTTCTTGGACTGAAGGTAGGTTCTTACTTCCTAAGGTTTGTACTCTCATGGACTCATATGTAGGATTCAGCCCCAAAAGAAAGGCAAATACCCATTGCTGGGAAACAAGTGATTTGTAGGCCTTTGCATCCTCATCGTACTTCCAATTCACATTTTGATAATGATCTAGTTCCTTCCAAATTGATGTTGTCTGAATAGTACACCGAGACTCCTCTCCCCTTGCTTGCAAGTGGAGGATTCTGCTTGCAATTGATATATCTTTGCATAGTGTCTCGGTTTTGAATAAATAGATTTTGCTTGTTCCCATATTTCATGAGCTGTTTCAGCCCACACAAAA